GAACATTTAAAACAGTTCCAAATATATTTAGACAGTTATATTCAATTCATGGACGTGTTGGTAGAGATGAAAATTCAGAAATAATGCCACTTGTCTATGCATTAATGTCCAGAAAATCGGAAGAATGTTATAGGAATTTGTTTCAGGGATTGGTTGATTTTGGTGATGAAAATGGTGTTCTTCTCCGGCCACAATTTATTTTAATTGATTTCGAACAAGCAGCCATCAATGCTTGCTCGTAGAGAATTTCAAGGTGTCCAAAATAAGGGATGTTTATTTCATTTGGCTCAGGGCATTTATCGGAAAGTACAAGCTTCTGGACTTAGTATTCAATATGGGACTGACGAAAATTTCAGTTTAAAAATTAGACACATTCCTGCACTTGCTTTCTTGCCTCCTGACGACATTCCTGCAGCATTTGATCAATTAAAGGATGATATTCCTCCAGAGGCCAACGAAATCGTAGAATGGTTCGAAGAGTGCTATGTACATGGTAGAACAAGACGCACATTAAGACATGGGAATGCAATTTGAGCATCACCATTATTTCCACCTGACTTCTGGTCAGTTGTTGATAATATCGATTATGCATTTCCACGAACTCAAAATTTTGTAGAGGCTTGGCATCGAAGATGGGGTGCCTTAGTAGGTATTGCACATTCAGGCGTTTACAAAGTCATAAAGGAATTGCAAAAAGAACAAAATCGAGTTGAGCTTGATGTAGAATCGATTTTACGAGGAATACCACGACCTTTACAAAAAAAAACGGGACCGTGAACGTGAAGCACGAATTTGGACAGTGTTCAATGACCGTGATAATAGACCACTTATGGAATTTCTTCAGGGAATGGCTCATAGCATTTCATTTAATATTGCTACTCTATTAAATACATTAATTGTAATTTTATTTTTTTTAAAAAAATAAAAGACATTATTATTAATTATTCGTATGAATTATTATTATTTGTATTTGTATTCGTGTTTACGTTTCGTCATATTTATTAATTATTAATTATTTCATAATGCGATATTTAACGTAAGAAAACGAATAAATTAAACTTCGGGTAATGTTGAACCAACAATGTGATAATGTGGCAACAATGGAAAATTTACTAGAACATTCAAAAAAATCATTTTTTGAGTTGTTTTATTAAATAAATTTGTCTCTTAAATTGGTCACGTTTACTTCATCGACAATCATTTCGT